TGGAACATTTTAGCCCTAATAGAGCTTTAACAAACAATATTTATCAGACCTCTTATAAATATATCTGTGTGTTCCAGTTTTAAAAGCAATTATGATATGATAAAGTATAGATTCATGCCACCATTTATTAAAAGTACAAAGATATGTTTATGAATTCCTCTTTCTATAGTTCATACCAAACAAGGAAGCCTGTAAATTATGTTTAGCATGCAGAAAGATAACTAGCAGGATTTCATACAAGAAAAATTTTAGAAGTCGGCACTCCCACGTCAATGCATCCATGACAGATTATATTGCAAACTGGAGTTTTATTCTACCATCTAACCACCCTTGAAAAAAAAAAAACCAAATGAACCAGATCCTTCTCAAGTTGTAATTGTTCTTAAATTATTTACGCATTTCAGAAGGCATTAAACATGTGGGAAGAAAACACAGAGCAGGTAATAAAAGCTTGCTACAGCAGAATGGCTAGAAATGGGGGCTGCTGGCATGGGAATTTCTTGGTGTGCATGCAGAGCTGCAGAACCTGCATTTACAAATAAAAGGTCTTCACATTTCAAGAAGAAAGAGAAGCTGTGCCTCCTCACCCTTCAGGAAGAAGGGGGAATGAGTAATCCATGCATTATAGTCAAAAGAAAAGAAAAGCCATCCCCATGACAAAATGCCAACTAGACTATTAACAGGAAGAGAATTGGACACCTTCCCAATCTTCTGTCACTTGTGTTTCAGAATCCCACACTGCCAGATAGAGCTCTTTTTTGTGTGAACTTGTCATTGGAAGACAATTCAAAATAAGTACTACATTGTTTATGCCCTTCTTTGAAGTGTGCTTCTCTTGTATGAATGAATATCTAATGGAACAGTAAATTTAAAGTGTGTGTGTGTATGTGTGTTGGGTGGATGGGGGAAACATCAGATTTACAATTGCTTGCCTATGTTGACAGTTTTATTCTAGAATGTCACTGCTTTCGCAAATACCTAGTGGCTTCCATGCCTGCAAGCATAATGAGTTACTGTAATATTATTCTTGATGTTAAATTCACTTGAACTTGCTCAACAGTATGATCAGAGTTGTTGTGTGGCACCAAAATTCTAGCTATTTTATCCTTATCCATGCCTTTACTTTTATTTTCATGTGAACACAGAGTAATTTGTGTTCACTGTCTTGTTTTTTTCAGTAATAATTTCATCAGGTTGACTCAGATCTTTTTAAACATGTTTCATTGTATAACTTTTGTATAGTCACTTGGGCCCTTTCCACATCTATAAATAGATTTCAGTGAGCATGTGTTTAAGTACTAGCTTGCAATAAGGACCCTGAAAAGACTAACAATAGCCAGGATTCAAAGACTAAGCCACGTTACAACTTAGGCACATTATGTTAAATTTTTCACTACAAATTATTTCAAGGGTTTCTGTTTATTTAACAAAATAGCACCACCATCTTTTATTGAGATATGCACAGCAAAGGAAGATACCCTCCTTCACCCCAATTAGATGGGCTTACTATGAAATACTATGAAATAAACAAAAATAACTGAAATAATAGGGAATGACCTCTATACTTCTGCCCGTATTCTGCATATCCAAGGGGTCTCAGGTTCACAATTATTGAACAGCAATTTAAACAGCAAAACCTTAAAAATGAGGGGCATTTCAAAATTCAAGCTTTTGATTTATGGCAAACTGGTTTACTGTTGAAGGAAGAAAAAAGCTGAGAGCCAAAGGACAAGCAATTCATTGAGCACAGCCAAGTACAGTGCCTTGCAGAAGTATTCATCCCGCTTTGACTTTTCTACAATTTGTTGCACTACAGCATGGAATTGAAATATTTTGGAGTACCTTGTGTATAGCAAACGGTAACAATGCCAGTTAAAACCATGTCAATTCCAGATAGTCACCCAAGGAAATGTGGAAAAGTCAAAAGGGGAGAAGCTTTACTTCTGTGGTGTATCTATTGGAAGCCCCATCTAACATCTGTTATTAGTTGACAAATACAACTTAATAGAACCCTCTTGGAATATTGGAACCCAATATTCTACCTACTTGTTCTCCCCCCAACCCTTTTGTTTCCTTTAAGACATATTAAATGCCTGCATTTTAACTGATTATTTTATACTTATTTCTTAGTATTGATTGCAATTCAAGAATTTAGTTACATTTTTTATACACGTAAGTAAACCTTTTGTCTGCAAATATAACATTTAAGTTGCAGTGACAGCCTGTGAATCCAATCAGACTTATTCTGAAATGCATAGCACTGTAGCCTTGAGAGTAAGTCCCAGTGGATTTACTCCTGAGCAAAGAGGTATAAGTCTGGGTTGCACAAGCCTGACAAAGACAACAGCAATACATAGCTCAATGACCTTTAGGATTAAACTAATAGAACTGGTAGCATCATTTTTAATTCAAACCAATTGCCCATCATTTTTAATTCATACCAAAGGCACCTGAGATTATTTTTCTTTTATTAAAAGGCCTTTGCCTTTCCATGTCCTTATTCATCTCTGCATCTCAGGCTGTTTTATGAGCCTTAATTAAGCCTCACAAAACCTCTACCATAACTTTAACCCTATTACTTATCTTGCACTATAGTGCAAAGAATTGAAGCTTAGTGTTGGAAGTTAGACATAGGGCTCAGGCTTCTGCTTACATTTATGGCTTTTCTTGGTTTGTTCCAATACTAACAGCTAAAATCCTAAAGCTGTAGCAATAAATCATTACTAAAATAGATTGCAGCAGGTATTATTATCACACGATGTACAATCATTATATGATGCTACAAAAACAGAACTCTATATTACAAATTCCAGGAGACTAGTTACATTAATCTCTTGTAGAATAAACAGCCCAGTGACACCATAATGCCTAACAATTATATTGTGTCATAAATATTTATGGCCTAGAATCAACTTTGTTAGATAAACAAAATGTTCATTATCAGTTGACACACTAAATGTGTAAACAAAGGTCAACATGCAAGCAACAGCAATAGGTTTGATATATTTTGTGAAAAGTTCCAAAGATATCAGTTAGAAATAGAGTGATCGTTGCAGAGTAGTAATCACTGGTTACAGCATTTTTTCTTGCTTTACTTGCACACAAGATTTTTTAATACTTTGAAGTTTTTTAAAAAAAATGTTTAACACTTTATGTTTCAGCAAATCCAATCTCAACGTAGTTCAAAATCAAAAACCAAATTGAAAAGGTTTGGAGAAGGGGGTGGGAAGGGCATTCTGGGAGGAGGGGAAAAGAAGAGACTGGAACTACCAAAATATGAGGTATCCTGAGGACACTCCAGCCTCCTTTCCTCCCCATTTAGAGTGTTGCAGCTAGATGGCTGAAAACAACCACCAAGACGTCTTGCACAGCAGGAGGGGAAATGGATATTAGAAGCTAATGAGCATTGAGGGTGAAACTCACTGGATGATATCCAGAATGACATACATCACTGGTCAACAATGCCTTCCTACTACTTACATAGGACAAAGAATTAGCATCTATGCAAGAGAATCAATAGACTTAAATCTGACATACAAAATAGCAGCATTCAGAAACCAGTGAACATTTTATTCAAAGAATATCTGCTTCTGACCTAAAAGTTACATACTTAGTACAAAAAGCTTCAAATTGTGGGTTCAGTGTGAATTAATGAATTGGAATACATCAGCAAATGTAATTCCACTGAATTTAGACACAATTGAAATAGTGTTGGCTTTCCTATTTCATAAAGTAGTCTCTTTTACATATTAAATTAGCAGAGCAAGAAAAATAGCATGTGACTCCTATCATGAATGGATCACTGTTCTTTTCTTGCATACTTTAGCTGCTTTTTAGGTTTCTTGGCATTTTGGCCTTACTATTTGCAACTTTCCTTCTTTCTGAATCTATGTGTGTCTATATTTTTATCCGTTTTTAAGGAGCAATGTTGTGTCCTTTTTGCTTTAAAAATATTATGCCAACACTGTTGGAATGGACTTGAGTTTGCAGAGCATGGCAACCCATTGTGAATGACTAACCACTGTGTGTTACTGTGGCATCTGAACTCAGGACACTTTTCTCATTGCAGCTTGTTTTCTGGTAACAAGTCGCCAGCCACCATGGCTTGGTTTAAGGCTCATTAAGTCCACAATGGGTTGTTCTGTCATTTGAACTTGGAAGACTGATTTTATCATGGGCTATAGGAATCAGTGAGCACGCTGCTCAGCAAGAGCTGCAACCCTGCTGCCACTCCTGGAATTTCGCCCATGCTCTGCCAATGTCCAAGTGGCACCTGGAGCTGCCTAGCACCGACTCATTATTTTTTACATTCTTTTTCGATAGCAAAAATGTGCTCAATTGAAATAGTAACGTATTTGCTTGGCCAGTGTCTATTGTCCAAATGCATAGACAACACACAGTCATTGATCAAGGGAGGCTCCTTATATGTTGCTCTGCATAAAGTTGACAGCTGTCAGTTGGAGATCTGTTAGTTCAAAAGCAAAGTAGTGAAGAGGGTTTTGCCTTCCTTAGGGTTTGATCTTCTAGTTTTTAAATACTGGTGTGACATTGCCCTCCATATATTGCATACTTCTCCAAGCCTCTAGGTACCCCATAAATGGGAAATCTACATCCCAGTCTCTCTCCACAAGCATTTACGTTGACAGCCATAAAAATCATTCTTTTCAAACAAACAAACAAGCAAAACTCCAGGCAAAGAATGTTTTTCTAAGATAGGGAACTGACGTTTGTATGGCATTCTCATGTTGATCAAATGTGACAAAATAACTTGATCTAAGGGCAGTTCTATCTAATCTGAGGACAACATGCTCAATTTTTAAATTAAAAACATTCTGTTTATTGTTGCAACAGAATCACCATATTGCAAATCCCATATAAACATGAAGCCTGATTTTAACTATATTTACTCAAAAACAGATCCCAACTAAATGTGCCTCTGATTACAGTCAATATATTGTATATGTCATGACAGATCTCTCTGAGAATGACTTGTAACTTACTTTTGAGATATTACTTGATCGACTTGTTGAGCGCCCTGGAGATTTCTCATTCTGTTAAAAAAAAAGAACATTTGCTTATTTTGTGACTAAAATGTTTTCCCTTATCTTTCAGTTACTGGATGCACCTAATTGAAAAGTTACATACTGAATAAGGATTTTAAACATGCTCACAAACACAGATGCAGCTGGGGTGATTTTTATGTTTGTGCCCTCAACACCAGACCTTACGGCTGTATCACAAACTGCTTTTGAAAACCCCATGGTATGGAGAACTGCTGCTCAAGAAAAACAAGTCAGTAGCCCTTTGGCAACTAGTGACAGCTTCTTTGAATTCAAGAATTTCTGAAACATTTCTTGATGAATGCACCATTTGAGACAAAGAAAGAAATGCTAATGTTGAAAAAGGAATGAAAAGAATGAAAAAAGGAAGAAGAGAAAACTGATCAACTTTCCTTGAAAGACGCTTTGAAAGAGAAAATGTCAATGATGCAACTGCTACAGTAATCAAGAAGGAACTAACCATGAAGGTAGGGGCCATATCCCTTTGAGTTTCCATCCAGCGGCTCTGATGTCATGCTGCACAAATATATCCATTATATTCAATATTACTTAATACAGGGTGTTAAGTAAATCAAAGCACAGGAAAAAGATCAAGCATAAATTGTATCTTGACACAACATTTATGATCTAGTGATTTGAAAAAATTAATTTCTTTTCTAATTTCCAACTGATAAAAAATTAATCCTTGGCTGACATTATTGAGTCTGGTTTTTTTTTTAAAGCAACATGTTAGTTAATAGTAGCTCTGAATTATTATTACATCTGAATTAAGGCTTTAACAGAAGATTGGAGACAACTATTGAATATTCTCTATTTCATTATCTAGACAGAAATTCTAGACCCTGCCCCCATCCTCAGCACCTTCATTGAATGATCAATGCTTCTACCTCATAATATTTTTGTGGAATAATGTGCAAATACCTCTACATGTCTACTGATGTGGTTCATTCAAAGTGATAATACATATGAAGTGATAGGACAGTGATGGCGAACCTTTTAGAGACCGAGTGCCCAAACTGCAGCCTCAAACCCACTTCTTCATCACAAAGTACCAACACTACAATAAAACCTGAGAACTGCAATTTTAGTTTAGAAAAAACAACCCAGATCGAGTCCAAGCAAATATATCTCCTTGGCAGGGCACTGACTGGCAACACAAAAGCTCAGGTAAGTTACGGCTAATGAGTCACAGCCCGTGATGTCATTGCCTAGCACTATTCCTACTCCTTTCTGAGCATGCACATGGCCCCTGTGTGCACTGCCACTCGATGCTCAGCTGCTGGAGTGATGCTGGGGTGACTTGGGTTGCATGCTGACCATCAGCACTCTGCATGCCCACTGTGGCATGCGTACCACAGGTTCATGACCACTGGCCTAACCCTACCCTAGTGCACACCCCTAACCCTAATATGGGGGTAAAGTTCAATTGAAAATAATGCAATTTTGAAAAAGCCTTCCTTGAGTAGCTTTTTCTGCACAGCTCATCATTTCCACACTTTCTAAACACATTCCAACCATCAAAATCAGGCCGGGATGCCTCATTTTTCTAACCCTAACCCTTCCCTGGTACACACCCCTAACCCTAATATAGGGCTAAAATACAATCGAACAGAGGGCAATTTTGAAAAAGCCTTCCTTGAGTAGCTTTTCCTGGACTGCTCATCCTTTCTGCCTGTTCTAAACACATTCCAACCCTCAAAATACTTCCTGGACTCCTTCTTTTTCTAACCCTAACCCTACCCTCGTGCACACACCTGACCCTCATATAGGGCTAAAATACCATTGAAAAGTGGGCGATTTTGAAAAAGGCTTTCTTGGATAGCTTTTCCTGGACTGCTCATCATTTCTGCCTGTTCTAAACACAATAAAACCTGAAAACTGAGGCTTTAGTTTACAAAAAACACCTCATAGCCAGTCCAAGCAAATATATCTATCTATCTATCTGGACTGCAGGTGGCGCAGTGATTTAAACTGCTGTGCTGCTGGGCTGGTTGATCGAAAGGTCGCCGGTTCGAATCTGCACAACGAGGTGAGTTCCCGTTGCTCTGTCCCAGCTCCTGCCAACCTTGCAGTTCAAAAGCATGCAAGTGCAAGTAGATAAAAAGGTAAAACTTCAATGGGCAGGTAACAGCGTTCTGTGCACTTTGGTGTTTAGTCATGCCAGCCACATGACCACGGAGACTGTCTGTGGACAAGCGCTGGCTCCCTTGGCTAGGAAACGGAGATGAGCACCGCCCCCTAGAGTCAGGCATGACTGGACTTAATTTCAAGGGGAAACCTTTACCTTTTTATCTATCTATCCTTGGCAGTGCACTGACCGGCCATGCAAAAGCTTGGATGCGTCACTGCTAATGAGTCGCGGCTTGTGACATCATCACCTGGTGCCGCTACTCCTTTCCAAGCATGCGCATGGCCCCTATGTGCACTGTTATGCTATGCTCGGCTGCTGGGGCTATCCTGGGGTGACTTGGCTCACGTGCTGACAAAGGGGGCTCTGCGTGCCCACTATGGCACATGTGCTGTAGGTTTGCCACCACTCTTATAGGATGTATAATCTTACTGCTGTCTTTCATGACTAATATGCACTCAGAGTTGTCTCAGATAAGGGTCTTACTTCTCCCCACTAACAGCAAGAGAGGCAGAGACTGAGCCTCATAACCTGGATTTTCATCATTCCTGAATTATTGCACTCAACCACGCAGCTAAGCTAGGAGGATTTCCCAAGTTGGCTATAATGCTGGTGTAACTGGGGTTTCATTGTGAGGATAAGATTAAGAGGAAGAAGAGAATTCTGCAAGTTGCCATGACTTCCTTGAAAGGGAAAAAGGTAGGCTGTAAATATACTAAACAAAATAAAACTGGTTCAGTAATAGGGATTACTTCGAGTAGATATGTATAGGACTGTCCTAATACAGAAAATAATTAAATACTCTAAGCACCAAAAAAGAATATCTTAGGTTATATAGGGCACATTATTCAAACAGCCTCTTTGAATTCTACCTGAAAAATTTTACCTGAAAAATAATCCATCAAAATTAAGTCAGCAGATTCTAATGCAGTATAATCCTGGTTTTTAGCTAAAACCTAAAAGCAAGTGAGATTTTAGGTAATTTACATTAGGCTGTTTAAGGTGAATCAATAGCATATTGTCAGAACAGATTTTATAGTATTGCTGTATCTTCAAAAGCAAGCTCTATTTCCATGTTAGCAAAATGTGGTTATTTCTTCATTAAACTGGAACACAAGGTTATGAACTGTTTTGAAACAGATTACGGCTACTTAAAATTGAAATGAACCTTACAATGTCAGTCAATTCCTTTGCATAATATAATCAAAGTAGATGAGTCTACATGACTCAAACTAAAATATGAACCTAAAATATGTTGGTAGAGGTTTAGTACATGACATGCACATAGAAATATGCTCGCATGCACTTTATAACATACTACCAGTGCTGAAAGAACTATATTAGAAAGTCTCCCACTGGAATGGCTCAGGATTCCTATCATGGGCTGGTTATTTAGTTCAGAACACAGAACTAGAAACCAGTCCATGTGAAAACCTTTGAAGAAAAGACAACTTTAAATATTTGATCAGTTTTCTCAAAATGTTATCCCTTGGTTTATTCAACCCATAGTTTGTGCCCTATACTGGATTTGTTAGCCAAATTATGGTTTGTTTTCTAATTCTTACAATTGCTTCTTTCATTCCTCCCATGCCTTTTCCCTCTCTGTATCCCAAATGTCTTTGTGGTGCTATGGTGCTGACATATAATGTAGCTGAGGTTTTCTCCCCCACTACTGGCAGTGCCTTTATTGCCTGGCAAAACAACCCGGCAAAACAGCCCATGAACAACTGACAGTTCTAGACTGACACATAACAACAATCCATGGTTTAAACGAGTTCATAACCCAGAATCAAAACATGCTTAACAAATCTGGATTGTTCACAGTAAACAAATTTGTAAGTTTGTTACAAACTTGGGTTCGCAGATCACATCCATAGTTTTTATAACATTAATCCATAGGTTTTATGTTATGAAAAAATAAGAAAACTCATGCTGAATCACACCAATGGTCCATCTAATCCAGCACTCTATTCACATGGTGGCAGAGTAACTGGTATATGCAGGAATGCCATTCTGAGGTAGCACATAGCCAGAATAATAGAACAGTAGAGTTGGAAGGGACCATGAAGGCCATTAACTTGTCCAGCTCATTGTTGAAAACCATCAAAACTGAAAGTTATCACTACTTCCCATGGCAGTGAATTCCAGCAACACGAGGCCTTACTGAGCTACTATTCTTAAAAAAAATGTTTAAGTTAAGAACTTACAACTTAATGTCCTACAAGCTTCAAAACTGCCACAAGTAATGATGAAGCTGTAACTGGTAACCCAATCACCAATCCTCCCCCATATTGTTTCACTTGGAACAACACTATTTCATGATACAGTGTTTTCCAGGCAAAACATTGCAAGGTAACGCACCTGGAAGAGCATGGGTTGTCCTAAGAAACAATTACTGAAATGCAGCTATACTTTCATAGCTCTCTGTTAGGACTGCAAATTGAGGCAGCATATTCAGCTTGGTATTAATTCCAATGCAAGGCACATAATTCAATTACACACGAGGTGGATGTAACAGCCACTTTTAAAGCCTGTTAAGAAGATTAAAAGATATATTACATGATGGCATGGATTCACATTAAGACAAGACTAATCAAAGGTTCAACATTGAGAGAGCTTGCTATGATGGTGTTGCTAATAATATTTATAACAGGAGCACAGAATTTGTGGCCTTCTGGATTTGTTTACAACTCCTAAAAACCCTAAGCAGAAAAGTCAACTTGAAGATTGATGAGAATTGTAGGCCAAAATATTTGGAGGCACACAAGTTGCTCACCCTTGACTCATGTAGTGCCCTATATCCAGTTCCTTGCCTTCTTTATCCATAGAGGTCAATTTACATCATTATAGCGTTTCCCTTTTG